ATGGACTTTTATGGGTACTAAATATTGATACATGTTTGACAGGCCTAACCTATAGCAGCTGCAAAGCATGCCTCTATTGGCCTCTGGCAGGAATTGAACTTGCCACTGTGGATTCTGTCAGGTACAGCACTCTAACCAATTGAATGTACTACAGAGTCCATGAACTTGAGAAATGAAATGAGTCTGGCTAATGATACTGTGAGCCACTCTGATACATGAGATACACGAGCATGCAGTTAATGCTTGGCAACTGATCTCTGTAGCATAGTTAATGCGCTACACCGGAATGATGCAGGTTAATTGATTCCTGTCAAAGCAGTTTAGATTCCCAACAATTTGGTCATGAATTCGGGCTGGCTTCGTCACTGTATCAAAGGGTCAATAGCTGCATTTTTTATAACATGTCTCTAAAAAGTCTAAAAGTTTATAAAGTTTATACTCCAAATTATTATTATTATTTAACAATATTTCTGTTGGACAAAAACTTTTGTCAAGTGAGATGCCCAAAATCCTTAATTTATTAATAATATGCGCTAATGCTGAGGGACTTGGCGATGTAGCTACTGAAGGACTTTACAATGCTACACCTGAATTGCAAGGCCGCAGGTTCAGTTCCTGCTTAGGTCTGAACATGTATAAAATTTACCTTAGGCTTAGAGTACCTCTGTCTTAACCTTTGATCACTGTGGATAACTTTGATAACGGTTAAGGCACCTTAGATTACCTTAAGCTAACGTTAGATTACTTTCTTCAACAATACTACCTTAGATTGCCTTAGACAATACTACCTTAGATTGCCGTTTTAGACTACTTCGTACTTTACCTATACCTGCGTGCAGCTTAGACTCGTAACTCATTCATTAGGTATATATGTTTATATCACAGGTCTTATATTCACAGAATGGTGTGCTAATAAAAAACTAATTTAAACTAATTATAAACTAAATCACAGTTTATAGTCTATCTTAGTCTATAAACTGTGACTAAATATATAGTGAGGTTATAGAATATTCCTCGCCTGATTTTTTAAGCCAATGTTTAGAAATATCGCCTTAAATAATTAATACCTTAATAAAATAGACCTTAATAAAATATACTTTGATAAAATATATGCAAATAACTAAAATATATATCTTTATCAAGCAGCAATAGGATCCATGTGTAGACTTCACATTTGATCAAACGTGACTGCGGCACTGCGCTATATGCTGTATTATAGCATCAGTTTTTTATGGTGATAATTGTTGTGGAGTCAAGTCATGCTTTTATCGTAAAAACGAATGATTGGTATCGCGCGGTTTATTCATTTGTTGCTTAAAGTGGTCGCTGCCACCAAAGTCTCATACCAAATCTGTAAACGTGTAGTTATATAATTATTATTACTGTTCTTTTGAAGCCGCAGTTTTTAGTCAAATACAGGCTTCTCGTTCGCTGCGCTCACTCTTGAGTTATCATGTTCAACAGTCGAAACAAATCTGGTATTTCCGCGCATCCAAGAGATTATTCTCTATGTTATATAGGCATATAGATAAGAATGCTATGTGGATACACATAATGGTATAAATAATGAAAAAAATGATGTTAAAATCGACATACCGTATATTGTTCCATTTGATTTCGACAAACAGGAATGTAGGGACAAATACTTGCAACACCAAACCCTCGGCCTGTTATGATTTTGTAGGCGTACAAAACATTTTATATTTGAGGAGTATTCAAGGTTGACAACATTCAATGATATCCTCTCATATTTGTATTAATTTCAGTTCCTTTTGTAGCGTTTATAGGTCTTTCAAAGCTTCCAAATCATGAGGCGCACAAGGAAAATACCGTATTTACTCGATTGAACGCCGCCCTCGATTGAGCGCCGCCCCCGAATAAGCGCCGCGTTTGAGATCAAATTTTTTTAAAGAGCGCCGCCCCCGAATGAGCGCCGCACTAAACAGTGTAAAAACTTTCCACCGTCAAAATGGAGACATTTAGTGACGAAGACATTTAATACTTGTTTATTTCATTGTTAAAAGTTCTTGTTATAATTCACAAATAAAATATTTTTTAAAGAGCGCCGCCCCCGATTGAGCGCCGCCCCCGAATGAGCGCCGCATCTGAAGCTCTGAAAATTTAAAGAGCGCCGCGGCGCTCAAACGAGTAAATACGGTATACAAGATTCAAAGTCTAACGGTTTTCATGATATTTGATTCTTGGCGCCGCCAATACACGCAGTGATTTGATTGGCGCACAACACGGTTAAACGCTTTCAGTGATTGATTGTTGTGAAATCATCCTACGCACAGACGCGCAATTATTCAAACGCTAAATACTATATTCAGAAATATACTATGAACTGTAGAGAAAAGGATAAACCCATCCTGACTCTCTATCAAAGGTCGCTACGTGGTATTCGAGAATTCGAGTGTTGAATATCGAAAGATCTTAGAAGTGATGTGAATGCATAAGGTGAATGCCTGCATAGTTATGTTGTATTGATTGATGAATGAAAGCGGAAAGGTAATTCAAAATATACATATTCGATATCTTGTCATATTGCCTATTTTTATCGTTTTATTAAATATCCATTTGCCATATCAGGTACACTTAACTAGCTTTCGCTTACTAAGTTCTAAACTGATTTCACAAAGTCAGGTCTTAAGCTACTAATAAAACCAGGCCAATATATTTTTGGCAACTACAGTCTATTGTGCAGTGGTTTATTATTCATATTAATCTTTTTCTATAGCGAACACGTTCACCCCAAACAAACCAAACGGCGTTGGCTAGACTGTTTGTTGCAACATTTTTGAACTGGCTTAAACTAAGCTTTGAAGAAACGATGCGCATGAAGTAAAAGTCGGCTGCGGCTGCGGTGTCTGCAGTTTTCAGTGTATTTGTGATTTAGCCGCATTTGAAGGTATCAGAATTTCTGATACTTTCGGTAGTCTGCGTCTCTGCAGTTTTCAGGGTTTTTGTGATTTAGAAGCATATGAAAGTATCAGAATTTCTGATTCTTTGTACGTCTATAGTTTCTGCAGTGTCTGGTCTCGGCTGCTTTAATAAGAGTACCTAAACTATATAGAAAACATTGTATGACACTTTTATATATTTCCTACCCAATGGAGTGTTGCAAATTTCGTTATTTACCCAAGGTGTTTTTGAAATCGTAAGATATTGTCGCATGTATTGCAGATATTATTATTTCTTACGGAGGCGGTATTTTTATCTGCAAAATTGGGCTGTTTTGAACGAAAAGTTTTTGGTGTCAGCAAAATGTTGTAAATAAGGCTGTTTTTGTCGAAAAAATGTTATTTTGGAAAATGCAAAGCTAGTATGGAACGCGTTCAGCAAAAAATACTTACATATTCTTATAGATTTAAATGCGCTGAATCAAATTCTAAAAAGTTCTTGTCGATAAACCCCGCTGCAATTTTTTTGTAAATTGCGATCAAAATTTTAAAATTTACGAGTTTTGCAATAGCATTTTTACTATCAATCTCGTTTCCCGAGCCTGCGATCCTTGGGAAGGAAACGAAGGCTCTGGGATAATCCATGTCAGAAATGAATATGATTGGTTGCTGGTATACAATGGAATGTTGCAAATTTGCAAAAATAAATTTTTAACCGTAATTTTTAGATACAACATGGCGGCCGTTTAGGAGTGTACGATTACGAATATTGTTTTGGTTTTTCAGAGCTGTGCTATATACTAATACTAAGAAGGAAATGCAAAGAAACGTATACTTAATGCGTATAATATCACAACAGTTAAATGGAGCGTGAAAACTTTACTCATATTTGTGTTGTACAGGTTTTCTGTAGTTTTAATCTATACATAGTATACAGTACACTGTACTATTTGACTATAATATCAAATATGTGCTATATTTTGCAAATACTATTTGTGTCAGAAACGGTTAATAATTTTTATTAATTTGTCTTTGTGTTATTTAATTGCGAAGAACTAGCTAGTGGCTACTTAACGAAGAACTAGCTAATGACTAGTTTCAATAAATCCAATCTTGGGATTTACTGTTATATATTTTATTATTTAATGTATATACTGTACTGTAAACTTTTCAAGTGGAGGAGTATGTAATACTCATTTTAACTTGTAGCATGTAACCCTTCGCTATATGGATGCATATGGATCTTTTGCTGTTATAATTTATTTATAGAAGAGTTAAAAAAACCTTTATTCTCTAAATAAACCACAATTTCACAGGCAGTGATATTAACTTGTATTCCAGTCTGCGTACACCTAATATATATAATGAATTCTTGGGTTTCACTATGGCATTTTGCACATTCTGACGGGGGGTCAACCTAAAATGTATTGATGTTTATGCTGTACTGTGGTGAGCAAATGATATGAAGTTGCATGTATTTGCCACCAAACACAATTTAAATTATAAAGTAAATATAAAGTATCAAATGTCCCCCTGTAGGAAAATATATAGGAATTACCCACCCTCCCAATATAAACCTCTTTGGAGATGCAATGTAAAACCATCTCCACGACTCTTTTACTATCAAAAACCAGATAGCTCCAAAAATTAAACATAAATTTAACAAAGAAATACACAACGACTTTCTTCGTTGATCAGTTTTGATTGCTACCTTGAGCGACTCCCATCCTATCCATTTCAATCACTTATGCCACTATTTCTGCACTTTACAGGCTGCTGTTCTTGATAAAGAATTAAATGCAATCACTTCATGTTTCTGGATTAAATCGCAAAAACTTTCGTACCCCGCTGTGTTGTCATATGCAGTTCCCGGTGAAGATAACGAATTCCTCATATATTTGAATCCACTAATTACATTGATAATAAAAGGCCGCGAATTAAGGTAAGTAAATCTAGACCTGTTGCTTTCTATTAATGAATGTGTTTTCACCTCTGTTTGTTTGTTTGTTTTTTGTTTTGTTTTGTTTTGTTTTGTTTTGGTTTGGTTTGGTTTGTTTTGGTTTGGTTTGGTTTGGTTTGTGTTGTGTTGTGTTGTGTTGTGTTGTGTTGTGTTGTGTTGTGTTGTGTTGTGTTGTGTTGTGTTGGGTTGGGTTGGGTTGTGTTGGGTTGTGTTGGGTTGTGTTGTGTTGTGTTGTGTTGTGTTGGGTTGGGTTGGGTTGTGTTGGGTTGTGTTGAGTTGTGTTGGGTTGTGTTGGGTTGTGTTGGGTTGTGTTGGGTTGTGTTGGGTTTTGTTGGGTTGTGTTGGTTTTGATGTTTTAATGTTTTAATAATATTCGGCAACTACCTAAAAATACAACAATGTAGTGCCAGGGAGTTCGCCACAGGTTCCCCCAATTACGGCGATCCCTTAATATTTACATAAAAAATCACGTTCAAATAATTGATTAACGAAACAGACAAAGTATAACAACACAATTACAAAACGGCTAAACTGACAACTAACAACAGTTTAAAACACCGTCAAGGGATCTAGCCCTTTTACATTTAACACAGACAGATTTCCAAGTCCGAGGATCGTCACAGTTACACGTGTTCGAAAGTGCGTTCTTATAGTACAGTTTCAGTCCTAATTTAAAAGCATAGAAACCAATGTTTCTGTCTCGAAGGTTATCACTTAGGATGTTCCAGGTTTTACTAGAAAATACATGCATGCAGAAACCCTCGCCATGCTGACAAAACCGTTGTATTTTCCGAACATGAAGTATCTAAAGTAATTGTCATGGTAACACGTTAATTTTTTAAGAATATTCTTACAAATAAAAAATCGCCTAAAAATGCCACATTTAATTACAAAATTATTAATTTCCCGATATATATATGTTAGGTATGTTGTTATACGTATTATAAGCCTCAATTTAAGGTAAAATTCAACCACAAACGCTTCGCAAAACGTTTTAAAGTCACTAGTGTTCTTTATAAAATTAACCTGTTTTTTAAAACGGCTTTATCGATAAACTTTGAGTTTGCAATAAAATGATTTAAAATTCTCGCTTGCAAATAACTTTGCTTTTTTTATTTAAAAAATTCAATATCATAAAAAAGGGAATCAATATTAAAGATATACTGAAATTATATGCTGTCTTGTTTTGTTGTTTCATGTACGCAAAGCCGGCCGTCGGGATTTAAATCCATTCTAAAATCAATATTTAAAACAAACTTACCTTCGTTAACGTCGGCTCCCTTCTTTTAGCCGATTCTTTCGCAGTTTCCTTCTAAGAGAGCTTTTGAAATTTACAAAATCTTGCAAAAATGCGAGGAAAAATGAAATATATTTGCAAGAAATTTATCAATCATCAAATCAAGAAATGTTTGCTATTTCGCTGTCGTCATGCAGTCGTTAAATGCAAACTTTAAATTGGACCAATCAGTGTCCGCTATTCGTGACAGTCCGCCATATTTTTGAGATCAGTGAGGATGACCACCCACTCAACACCGTTGGTCACCCACGCCCGCGATATTTGATGAACTTTAGACTCCGCTAATGCTTTCGTTTCCCCGGGTGTAAATAGCCGGGGGGAATTAGTACCCTCGCACGGTGCTTCGCGCCGCCGGCTCGGGGACAAGCTCTAATAAAATACGAGGACTGGAACGTTACAGTTTTGGCATAAGGTATTAAGAATTTAATTCGATTGTCATTAGTTTCACTTCTAGTGATTCCTGATCCTGATATAACCGGTCGAGCACTGTCGTCAGTATATGTATGATTGTTAATGATTTTATAGAGTAGGAATATATTCAGGTATTCGTGCCAGTAAGTTATGGGTAGTAGATCTAGGTTATGTAGTCTTGTTGGATACGGTATGTTGGTGACAAACCCAAGATTAAGGATAAATTTGGTTGCTTTTCTCTGCACCTTCTCGATATTTTCAATTAACTGTATGGACTGTGGACACCATACTTGGGATGCGTATGCAAGATTGCTTCGAACGAGCTGTAAGTACAGATACTTTCTCGCCTTGATGTCAGTCATTTCCAAGGTAGATCGCCTAATTAATCCAAGTAATTTGTTAGCTTTGGACAATTCACCTTGCTCACTTGATGGATCCATGTTAATTTGAGACAGATAGTTATACCCAGGTCAACTTCAGCATCAGAAAAGGACAACAGGTCACCGGCAAGACTGTATGGAGAAACCAAAGGTGATGTTTTTTCTGGTTATAGAGAGCGCCTTTGACGGATCTAAGTTCTGCAAGGCTTGGAAAACTTCTTCTACCGATAGGTCAATTGATGAAATGCTTGATAATGGAGAAGATGAATCTGGTTGAAACGAAGGTGATAGATCCTGAAAGCAGGTGTAGACAGATTGAAAGTACTCATTAAACATCGTCGCAATGTCATTAGGTGTATTAGCTTGTAATCTACTCCCAGGATTGTTATTGTCGAATCTTGAGACAGAGTTCGGTATGTTTCCAGAACTTGAATTAAATTTGAAAACGGACCAAAAACGGTTGGGATTCACCTTTAACAAGCTGCCCAAGGAAGGGAAAAACGACTCTCTGCTTTCTTGTATAACTTTTTTGACCTCGCTTCGTAATCTGCTAAACGTTTCTTTGAGATAGTCAGTTCCTTTATGCAGAAATTTCTTACGGGCAGTTGCTTTTTTACGAATCTGGTGCAAGATGTTTGGAGTTATCCAAGGTGGTGAGCGACGCGGATCTACGTACTTAGTGGGAATACAATTATGAACAGCAGTCATCACAGTGTTCTTCCAAATTGACCAATCATCATCGATACTCGTTTCCGTTACATTGTTTCTCATGAGAGAACATATGTCCATGTCCGTTAGACATTTTCTTAGATCATCAAATTTGGCTCGTCCATAATCGTAGACCAAACGACGGTTTGTCATGATGGGATTGGATGCCGTAGAAAACGTAAATCGAATTATTTTATGATCGGAGGACATTCCTAATTCTGATGGATCGCAGATGTCTGTGATCGATAATTGTTCTAGTTGGTTTGTTATCACTAGATCTAGAATATTTGATTTTCTCGTAGGTAGAAGACAAAGTTGTGAAATGAAGAAATCATCCAAAATATCACAGAAATTCTGTCCCAACGTTCCAATTCATTCCAACTGATACTTGGGAAATTGAAATCGCCTGCGATAAGGATCTTGTCATAACTTGGAAATAGAGTGTCTGCAAGAGATCTGAGATCGACTATTTCGTTACTGTCAGGCGGTCTGTAACAGCACACAAGTCGCCATTTGCGGTGGTTTGGTTTGGTAGAGTACATTGTACAGCAACTGCCTCTCGATTCTTCGTAGCGATAGAAGTGATTTGACTACATGTGATGAAGGTGCCATGCTTAATAGCTACCAATACCCCGCCCCCAACTCGTCCCAAGGATCGGTCAGATCGATATATATCATATCCGTAGGGAAGAATTTCTTGGTTGGAAATATTGCCGTTGGGCCAAGTTTCGGATGCAAACATAAGATCGGCCGCTTCCGAGTAAACCATCTCCTGAAACTTGAGAAGATTACAAACGGATAGATTTCCTTGCGCACGGATGTTCTTTTTTAAACTTCTTGCATTCATGTGCATGCAGAGCAAGTTTGATGATCTGTCTTCGGGTCGTCCACGCGCATTATGAGAGCCAACAGCGTCACCAGGGTCGAGATAAACGGGAATGGAAGTAAATGGTTTATGAGGTGGAGATGAGAAAGACAAAGGGCCAGGATTAATTGCAACATCACCAGCCAGAACAATTAACAAAACAATGTGAGATAGTTTGCGATCGATTTGAAGATTTATTCCGTAACGATAATTGGGTGGATAATTAGATTTTCTTATTGTAAATCGCGAGTAACAGTCCAAACACCGCACAGATTTTCGGGTAAGCTTGTAAGATCCGATGTTATGAAAACGCCGTTGTGTTTGTTTGTTTGTTTGTTTGTTTGTTTGTTTGTTTGTTTGTTTGTTTGTTTGTTTGTTTGTTTGTTTGTTTGTTTGTTTGTTTGTTTGTTTGTTTGTTTGTTTGTTTGTTTGTTTGTTTGTTTGTTTGTTTGTTGGTTTGTTTGTTGGTTGGTTTGTTGGTTTGTTGGTTTGTTTGTTTGTTTGTTTGTTTGTTTGTTTGTTTGTTTGTTTGTTTGTTTGTTTGTTTGTTTGTTTGTTTGTTTGTTTGTTTGTTTATTTGTTTGTTTGTTTGTTTGTTTGTTTGTTTGTTTGTTTGTTTGTTTGTTTGTTTGTTTGTTTGTTTGTTTGTTTGTTTGTTTGTTTGTTTGTTTGTTTGTTTGTTTGTTTGTTTGTTTGTTTGTTTGTTTGTTTGTTTGTTTGTTTGTTTGTTTGTTTGTTTGTTTGTTTGTTTGTTTGTTTGTTTGTTTGTTTGTTTGTTTGTTTGAATGTGTGTTTGTTTGCTTGCTTTTTTGCTTGGTTGCTTGTTTGTTTGTTTGTTTGCTTGTTTGTTGGGCTGGGTTTGGTTTGGTTTGGTGTGGTTTGGGTTGGGTTGGGTTGGGTAGGGTAGGCTAGGATAGGGTAGCGTAGGGTTGGGCTGGGTTGGGTTGGGTTGGTTGTGTTGGTTGTGTTGGTTGTGTTGGCTGGTTTGCATGTTGGTTTGCATGTTAGTTTTTGGTTTGTAGGTTTGTTTGTTTGTGTTTTGTGTCTATGTATGTGTGTATGTGTGCCTGTATTTTGGAATGCAATAAATGAGTTAATGTCCCGAAGGTCGAAATCTCAAAATATTTCTTCTCTGTTAATAAACAAAAAAGTAGTCACAAACAACACTGAAATAGCTGAATGTTTAAAACAAAATATTTTCCTGAAATAAGGTGCAAATTAACAAACAACGTACCGCAATTTAGCAATGGGAAAGGTTTTCATCAATATGTGCAAAGAGCTGCCACTGAAACGATTTTTATATTACGCCCAACCACTTCGGATGAAGTTATTAAATTAATTTTCTCAATATCTGATAAAAAAGCTACTTGTCTAAACCATATTCCGTGTAAAATACTTAAACTCGCTGCACGTATTGTTTCGAAATCATTGTGCGATAGTTTTAATTTATTTATACAAACAGCAATATTTTCTGACGACTGGAAATGAGCGAAAGTCTCCCCTATATACAACGTTGACGCAAAAGATAATGTAGGGGATTGGAAACCAATTTCGGTTTTAAGTGTGATTTCTAAGGTTTTCGAGCCATAGTTTTTGATCACCTTTACACTTATTTCAATGAAAACAACCTGTTACACACGAGTCAATCAGGCTTTATGAAGTGACACCCCTGTATGACTGCACTAATAGATGCCACATTGAATGGCTTGCAAATGTGGATCAGGGAAATTTTAATGCGGTTGTCAACAAGGGCAGATTTCGTGCTCGACCAATCAGCGATGCTGTTTACATTTTGGCACTCAACTGATCATAATGCAGGAAACGAGAAATTTACAGCAAGGCGAGCCAGAATATATTGCCGTCTTCGCGGGCTTCCGTGAGATTAAATTTTAACTTTTTTAATTTAAAACCAAAGATTATGGTGGAGCACGTTAAAATCTAAAACTTTGCCGTGGGAATTTTTAAATTTCGACCTAGAACTGAAAATATCCATGTTTGAAATTTTTCCCTATGTCGCGTATGACTGGAATAAAACTAAAAATGCCATATTTTCTCTGCTTTTTAGTTTTTGTGGGAAAACTTTTTTTGGAAATTCTTTTGGTCAATGTTTTATATCAAAACCTAGATGATAACGCGTTTATAGCGCTTGATTTAAAAAAAATATAGTCGCGCGCTCGCGATCATACGGGAAATCAATACAAAAATATTGTGCGTTCGATTTTGCAGATAATCAGACTCTCTAAACGCGTTATCTTCTAGGTTATGAAATAATACATTGAGCAAAATGATTCTCAACAAGAGTAAGAAAGAGTTTTTCAACAAAAACGTAAAGCAAAGAAAGATAGCAATTTATTAATTTTATTGCAGTCAAATTAGATTACTCAAGTTTGTATACGCGACATATGGAAAAATTTCAAATATGGATATTTTCCATTCTAGGTCGAAATTTAAAAATGCCCACGGCAAAGTTTTAGATTTTAATGTGATGCATCGTAATATTTTTGTTTTAAATTAAAAAAGTTAAAATTGAATCTTAAGGAAGCCCGAGAAAACGGCAATATTTTGTAGCTCGCCTCGGTGTAAATTTCTCGTTTCCTGCATTATGATTAGCTGAGAGCGAAAATGTAAACAAATGCGCTGATTGGTCGAGGACAAAAGCTGCCCTTGTTGCGGTTGTCTATATTGATCCAGCGAAGGCATTTGATACAATAACTCACGAGATATTACTCGAGAAACTCCACATTTACGGGGTTGAAGCAAATAGCTTATCCTGGTTCCAATCTCATCTACAATATCGCAAACAAAAATGTTATGTGAATGACGTTCTATGCGGCGAACGTAGCATTAATTGTGGTGTGCCTCAGGGGTCAATTCTTGCACCATTATTGTTTTATATATGAACGATCTTCCTCAGTGTTTAAAACATTCTACAGCTCGAATGTAGGCTGACGATACAAACATAACGACGACAGGAACATATCTTCGAGAATTAGTAACACATGCTAATGATGACTTAAATAATATAAGTGACTGGCTGAAAGCAAACAAACTCAGCCTTAACGTGACCAAAACTGAGTACATGTTCATTGGTTCAGATCAAAATCTCGACAAGTTAAGGGATGTGCCACTACTAGTTCTTGAAAACAAAGCTATAAAAAGGGTCA